ACCTCCAGAGTGATGGTCTTGCCAGTCAGGGTCTTCACGAAGATTTGCATACCACCACGCAGACGGAGGACCAGATGGAGGGTCGACTCCTTCTGGATATTGTAGTCAGACAAAGTGCGACCATCTTCCAGTTGCTTGCCGGCGAAGATCAGACGCTGCTGATCTGGGGGAATGCCTTCCTTGTCCTGAATCTTAGCCTTCACGTTCTCAATGGTATCGGATGGCTCCACCTCCAGAGTGATGGTCTTGCCAGTCAGGGTCTTCACGAAGATTTGCATACCACCACGCAGACGGAGGACCAGATGGAGGGTCGACTCCTTCTGGATATTGTAGTCAGACAAAGTGCGACCATCTTCCAGTTGCTTGCCGGCGAAGATCAGACGCTGCTGATCTGGGGGAATGCCTTCCTTGTCCTGAATCTTAGCCTTCACGTTCTCAATGGTATCGGATGGCTCCACCTCCAGAGTGATGGTCTTGCCAGTCAGGGTCTTCACGAAGATTTGCATACCACCACGCAGACGGAGGACCAGATGGAGGGTCGACTCCTTCTGGATATTGTAGTCAGACAAGGTGCGACCATCTTCCAGTTGCTTGCCGGCGAAGATCAGACGCTGCTGGTCTGGGGGAATACCTTCCTTGTCTTGAATTTTGGCCTTCACGTTTTCAATCGTGTCGGAAGGCTCCACCTCCAGAGTGATGGTCTTGCCAGTCAGGGTCTTCACGAAGATTTGCATACCACCACGCAGACGGAGGACCAGATGGAGGGTCGACTCCTTCTGGATATTGTAGTCAGACAAGGTGCGACCATCTTCCAGCTGCTTGCCGGCGAAGATGAGACGCTGCTGATCTGGTGGAATTCCCTCCTTATCTTGAATCTTGGCCTTGACGTTCTCAATGGTATCGGAAGGCTCAACCTCCAGGGTGATGGTCTTTCCCGTCAAAGTTTTAACGAAGATCTGCATTTTGGTAATTCTGCAAATAAATTTAAAATAAAAAGTTTGAAAAAAAAAAAATTGTATTGACAGACCTCGACTCAAAAGTGCTATGAAATTGTAACTTTCACGATGACTAACAAACAGCTGTAGAAAATTCGAGTATATCCCCGATTGCTTTGTGCTTGAACAATACGCACACAAACACTAAATAAATATTTGTATGTATGTATACCTATCTACGTATATTCTCACTTTGAACTCTTCCTATTTCCTCTCTTGTCAAAGTCTTAAACAAAGAAAAAAAAAAACCTTTGTTGGCGGCCATTGCTCTGCCATTTAATTTTCTTATATACTATACATACATATACTCGTACAAATATATACATATTTACATACAGAGTTGCTTGCGTTTAAAGTTTTGCAACGCAGACTTTTATTTATAATAAAATAAAAAATTAACACGCAGTGCAAATTTCGAACTGCGCACTTATTTTCGACGTTTTCTATATACATACAAAAATACGTATGCATTAGATAAGTGCGTGCAAGTAATACATACATACATTTGCAGTAACTATGTGTATGTATGTATATTCACGCATATATAAATATATATAGTCGGATATTTTCATGTATGTTTTAGAATGTCTTCTCGAATTTTCTATGACACCATAAGCTAATTTCACAATAAACTGGAAAAAATTTCTTAATTCCAAATAACGCGTAACCAAAAATACTACGAAAGAAAAAAAAAATGGCGTATCGAAAATCTACTTTAAAACATTTCACCCAATTTGATTTTTACAACATACAAAATAATATACAATAACTCGGTTAAAACTCACTTTTCAATCACTGATTCTTAGCTTTTAGATATTTAATTTTTCACAAGAAAATTAACTTTTTATTTCAGTTTATTCACAGCTGCGATTATTCCTTCTGCTCACTTGCTTCACTTTTTGATTACTTCAAACGTTTGCAAATGTGCCTCGCTTTATATAGACTTGGCAACTGCAGGAGAAATTTTGTATACATAGATGGGGAAATTTTAACGTTAATAGAGCTATCCCGCTCACGCACAAATTTCAAGAACTTGCAAGTCTTAATAATATGCTTTCCCTAATGCTATAATGACATTCTTTGCAGTTTCTAGTCAATTTATGCAAACAGTTATTTTAATAAAATGAAAGCAGTATGAAAAAATAAAGCGAACATGATTAAAATAATTCGTTCGATTTGTTATGCAGAACTGCAGCATTTAGACGTGCCATATGTTTATCCCTTTCACTCGCGCATGTCAGAAAATTTAACCACACTTAAATCTACCACACTTAAATCTACCACACTTAAATCTACCACACTTTAAAGTTGCCAGACCGTTGAGTTACGCGCAATTTAAATTATATTGAATTTTTTTACTCACCCCTCAAACCGTTTGCCTAATATTTTTATTTACTGAATTTCACTATACCGTTTGATTAATGTTGCACGTTTAATTCTTTCTTATTTTGTTAGCTTGTCTGCTAAATTTTAACAATTTTTTTTTTAGCTCCAAGTGTTCACTTTTGAAGTCAAACGGAAAATGAATGAGTTGAAATGTGTTACGCTGCACGAATATTTACACACAAATTTAGTTTTCAAGGCTTACTATGTTATTAATATGTTGTTTGTGTATTTTAAAAAACTAGACACTCACCACACAATAAAAAATTTTTTTTGTAACAAATTCAAGACAAGACCTGCTTTACGTGCTGAGTCGACTGGCTTAGTAACAATTCCTGTAGACCAAGGATAGAAAAAATGACTTTGTAAGCAAAGTTACCTAAGGGTATATTTTTTATACAATAAAAAATTCAGTTGGAGTTTCAAAAAGAAAAACATCATGCAATTTGATTTGGTTTACAATGGTACCTGGGCATACAATTTTTGGCACACAAAAATGTAGGTAACATAGCCAATTGAGTTTTACAATATCAGTGAGAAAATTTGTCATGAGAGGCATTGGTGGCTGAGCATACAATTTTGTGATGTCACATATTGACGAATTCGACTTTGACAGTGCCATTTGAGCTATACAACAAGTAACATAATCGACGTAGTCTCTCTCTGATTGCTAACCTTTCATTATTCAGTAAATCTCTAAATAAAAACTAGCTGCACGGAAAATAGTAACAGTCACGAAAAATGGTGGAACTAGAAGTACTAAATGCCAAAACTAGCAAAGCCTATGGCAAGGTAAATGTGTCCTCTGCCTCGGTTGCGATAAGCGAGCTACGCGTAGTAATTCACAAAAGTTTGAAACAAACGCCGCATGCCGACCGCATATCGCTGTAAGTGCACCAAAGCACACGCAGACAAGCATGCATAAATTTCCAAAAACTAAAAATGTTTTCATTTAAGACGCCTGGAGCCGCGTGGCAGAAGCTTGAAGGATACTGATACAGTTGGAGCACTTAATCTCAGCGATGGGGACAAGGTCTACATTAAGGATTTGGGGCCACAAATCGGTTGGAAGACAGTGTTCCTGGCCGAGTATGCTGGTCCTTTAATTGTTTACCTAATTTTCTATTTTCGTCCGGAATTCATTTACGGCAAGGCAGCTGGGAATCCCATTTCGTTGACCACTCAGTAAGTAGATATTAGCCATGGATATCATTCGCTCTCTCTCTTTCTCTGTGTGTGTGTGTGTTTAGGTGTGTGTGACTTTCGCCAGAGTAACACACACACACAGATCCACATACACAGTTTATTACGCACACAGTGATAATAGTATCGACCCGCTTGACCCAGCGGTCGATTTTGTGAGCTTATGCAAATAATTTGTGATCAGCGCTGGGCTAGCTTTTACCTGTTGTTGGCTGCATAATCATTAACACGCTTTCAACACGATTTGTATATACTCTGAACGCACTAACCGACGAACGGGGTATATGGAGTGTTGATGAAGACATGGCGTTTGGTCACAACTAATAGCTACCCTGCCAATTTGTATGTATATGCGATCATATACAAATAATTTTCATAAATTATATGTATGTAAATTTTGTTTAAAAATCGGAATCAGGGAAATCTGCTAATTTTACAAAATTTCCCTGTTTTAGTTTATTGATACTATTATACATTTATCATTCATAGTATTGCCGCTGGCTGTTATACCGTTCACTATGTGAAGCGTTTGTTGGAGACGATCTTCGTGCATCGTTTCTCCCATAATACGATGCCGCTACGTAATCTGTTCAAGAATTGCAGTTACTATTGGGGCTTCACAGCGTATGTCTCTTACCATGTGAATCATCCACTCTACACATCCCCCTGCATGTGCACCGTCTATGCTGCACTGGCTGCCTTCGCTGTGAGTGTTTCATAAATATTATCTTATGTAAACATTCTAAAGGATTTTTGATTTCTAGCTCTGCGAATTGGGCAACTTCTCAATACACATTGCTTTACGTAATTTGCGTCCACCGGGCACCAAGGTGCGAAAGATTCCTGTGCCCGATGGCAATCCATTGACAAAGCTATTCAAGTAAGTCCCGATCTCTCGCTCTCTCTTCATTGAAAATCTTATTATCCAATTCAATTTTCTTTTGCAGCCTGGTCTCTTGCCCTAATTATACATACGAGATTGGCGCCTGGGTCTGCTTCTCGGCTATGACCTCTTGCTTGCCCGCCTATCTGTTTGCATTTGCTGGCGCATTCCAGATGACTGTTTGGGCTCTGGCCAAGCATCGCAATTACAAGAAGGAATTCAAGGATTATCCAAGGGGTCGCCGTGCCATTTTCCCATTCCTCATCTAAAGTTCGCCATTGCGTTCATACATTTTGCGAAATTTGCATGTGCACACCACGTACTGTTATTCCAATTCATTGAGTAGAATTAATTAGCTTCGCTAAATATAAATGGGTAGAAGATTGACGAACTTTGTATATTGGCTTGGCGCATACGAATATTTATATATGTATTTATTATGCAAACACCAATTGTGAGCTGATAGACTTTGAACCTATCAGCTTACCCAGCTTATACGTTATACGTGTTAGTAAAAGGGGTATATTTCTGTTGTGCAATGAAATGCAATGAGTAATGAAGCCAGACTTAAGCGTCTTTCGTTGCTAGATAACAGTTCGCAGTCTTCGATTCTCTTATTCGACTATTATAGAAATTTTCAAATGTCCGCCAACTATATTTTTCACGAGTGTAAAACAAGTTGGCAGCACTCTGCTGTCTCTGTCACCTGAAGTTGGCAGCTTTGTTTATTGCAATATTCGTTGTTATTTAATACATTTAAATAGCCCGCCAAACAGAGCTGCCATATGATCAAGACCATGCATGTGAAGTTGGCTGTAGCTGAGTTTTATTCGTGTGTGTGTTTGTGTGATTAGTTTGTGTTTGTGCCGGCAAAATAAAAATTCAGATGAGATGAATTTGTTCGAGGAGCTGGATACATTGGATCCCAGCTCCAAGCTGGTGCCGCCGCGCATAGAGACACCCACACCTCACAAGATAGCCGTACTTATACTACTCAAGCAATATGTGAAGGTAAGTGAGTTTACAGCTCTCTTAATTTCTACATTTATATACGACAAAATTTATGCAGGAAAAAAAGAACTCAATGGATTCTGGAATTACGATGCGTCCACAGAGGCGACGTATGTTTTGTATGCTCATGTTCAAGCTCATCCAGGAGGCGGATATGACGTACAATGAGCTGCACAATTTAATTACGAACAAGCCGTTTAAGCTGGACGCGCTTATGCTGGAGTCCTTCGAGAAGGCAATGTCCGAGTTCTGTGGCTCGGCCAGCATTGAGGCGTTGTTTGACTTTGCCGAAATGCAAAACATCGATACACTGCTAAATGAAGACTACGGCGTTAGCCAGTTCAGCATGGTTGGAGTTTACGTCCGACGAGTGGCTGTTGTGCTCGAACGCTTCTCTTTTGCCGAAATGATGTGCATGTATCGAAATATTTGTCTCTACTATGAACGTGGCATACGAGCCCTATCCTCGGGAGCACGGAAATTGATTGTTGGTGGCGTGCTGCACAGAGCGCAGACGCCACCACCGTCGGCGCCGGAGGAGGAGATTCACAAGGACACGGCTGAGCCGAAGCAGGAACAGGGAGAGGTTGGCCAGCCACTAAGCCGATGGGCGCCGAAGCAGGCGAAATTCTTTATTAACAAGCAGTCGGAACTGTTGGACAATGATGAGAGCTCCGCCTTGTCACCCAAACAGCTGCAGCTGAAGGTGCAGCAGATCATTGAGGACCTTCCCTTGAATACGACCTCCTATTTTCTAGGATATATGAATCAACTGCGCATACGAGATTACTATAATGCGTTGTCGGCTCTGCATCGAGCCTTGGATCGGTCGCCTGTGCGACTGATGAGCCAGGAGAAGGGCTATCAATACTTTTGCATCAATCTGGCGGTGCTGCATGCGACTTTCGGGCATCGGGAGGAGGCACTGGCTGCACTCAGAGAGAGCATCATGCTTGCCCAAGAACACGGTGATAAGAGGAGCTTGAATTTGGCCAATACCTGGCACTGCCTACTGCGCGACGAGCTGCCCCTCTCATATGTACAGCGCAGCGTGGCCGACATCAGCGATGCGGATGGGAATCTTCTACAGAATTATACGCTTGCGCTCCACTTTGCTGTGAAACTGGGCACCGTGGCGGGCTACCAGCCGTTGCGTCTCTTCGACCTGCTGCAGCACAGCGATCAGCTAACCAATCGGAATAATCTTTCCAATCATGCCTCTGAAGCCTTGGCCTTGAGGAGCGCTGTTTGGTGTGCCTACGGTAGACACGAGTTGTCGGCTTTGTATGCTCAGCTGCTGTTGTCCGTGCGGGATCGTTTCAATTGCAGCGGATCGGCTGGCATGGGCAGCGCTCTGGCCAGCTATGCCATGTGGCTGCATTTGCAGGGCGAACTGCCTCTCGCCCGTGTGTTGCTCCACCGGGCTCGCGAACAGCTACCACGTATGCCCAACGCTGAGTGCTGGATGATTAGCCAGTGTCATGTGACCATACAGTCGGGCATTTATCGTTGTCGTTGGCATGACGCCCTAAAGGCCTGTGATCAACTGCATCTACTCGATCCATCGGCTGCGATGCAACAGCGCGCCGCCATCTATGTGGCGAAGCGCGAATTTTTCAATGCACGCCGGCTGCTGGACAAGCTGGCAGCCAAGTCGGAGCTGCCGTTTCTATTGCGCATGCGTGTCCAAGTCCTGCTCGCCTATTGCAGCCTAGCCGAGGGCAATTTCTCTAGCGAGGCAGTAATGCTGCTGCTGCGTGTGGCCGAGGATATGTCCGAGTCCCAGATGGACTACGAGTTGGCCACTGTGGATATGTTGCTGGCACAGGTGCTTTTAATGCTGGGCATGCCGCAAAAGGCGTACCAGGCCATCAAGCGCAGCATGGACGATATACACATAAACGGGGGACTCTACGAGCGGGCCAAGGCGGACTTTGTGTTCGTGCGTTGCCTGCTGGCCATTAAGGATGCGAATGCTCGCAAAGCGCAGCTATTGAAGTCCTTGGATATATTGGAGCGTTCCGCACAGTCCTTTAAGAAGCTGTCGGCCCATGCCAAAGTACTAGATGTTTACGTATTTCTCGCTCAGCGTTTCAATGAATACGGTGAGCGGACGCTGCGTAATAAATACGCTGGAGAATTTCGTCGTTATTTCATGGAGCACCCCATACCAAGAGAATATCTCGGCGGACCTTAATTAACTCTTAATAAACGAATTTTTATTAAATTTTACAAACATTAATTGTTCTTTTCTTCTTGATGTGTAGGCCAACTACAAATACTTGGACTAAACGCTAGTTGAAAGTTGCCAACTGCTCGATTGAGTGGATAAGAAGATGGTAAATGCTTAAGGCGTTGACTTTGATTGGCTTTCATTGACTGCTATCTGTATGTGTGTGTGTTTGGTATTAGTGTTAATAAACATTCACTGGCAGGGACTTGTGAACTGGATCAACTAGCTCGATTGATTCCGACTTATACTCTAGAGCGTGAGGCAATATCCCGTTTTAAATGTGAATGCTGCTGCTGTTGTTATTTTTTCGTCCCCGCTGGCAAATCGAACTAACGTATTATGCATAGATGTATATATGTATATCAAAGCTGATAATTAACGAATTAATGGTAAACTGGGCGATGCTCCAGCGGCCATGGCACTGCCTGGACCAAGCAGCACTTGCTTCTGCTGCGACTTGTGTAGCTCCTCCATTTGGGCGCGCTCGGTCTCAAAAATGACGGGCGCAAACAGTATGACGGAACTTGTAAAGAATATCCACGATGCATTGCACGAGAACTGATAGAGACTACGGAAACTCTTCGCCGCAGTGGTGGCTACACTGCTCACCGCATTGCGCACTGATTCCGGGAACATTTCTGTTAGTCCCATCATACGTTCACCGAACGTCTCATCTGGTTCCTAAACAACAACACAAGTGTGAGGTTAGAATGTTCAATTCTATATATACATATATGCTGCATGTTTACAAACATAAATTGAGAGCAAAACTTACATCATCATAATTCTCACCATCTGTTTGCGGCTCTTCATTTGCTGGCTGTAAAGAAAGCAATGCGATTGATGCACGTTGTAATAATCAATAAGTACAAATGCACATACATAACTATGTATGTGTGTGTGTATGTGTATGCTTGATAAGCAGATGTACTAGTTCTCCAATTACGTGAGCACGCAAACCGAAACGGCAGGGGCTTTCAGACGCACGCGGTTAAACTTACAATGGCTACTGTGCGGCGCTCTGGCGTCTCGTCCTTGCTACCACCTAACGAAGACATCCCACTATCCTTTTCAATGAACTCAATGTCAGGATCAGAGTCCATCAAATCCTCAATTTTTACGTTATCGGTATCCACTTTTGCGGCTTTATTTTAAACACTTGTAACAATATTCTCGTCGGGTTAAATTAAACCCTTATATATATCGCGTGTACAACACAAAAAACTTTGGACAATATTATCAGTTCGCACTGTCGTTTTCGTTGTAAAAAATTGATTTCGTGTGTGCTCAGCGATGATACCTGGGGCTATAGTTCACAGCGGAACTCGTTCTACTGTATGAACTTACTCAAAATGGTAGCCGGCGAATTGGGTTGCTCGCGATTCATCGATAAGAAAATACTAATTATATTTCTATAATATTTGTGCTAAGCAACCGATACATTGAAGCTCAATTAAAATGTTGCTTTAAATTTTACATAATTAATGTGTAATAAATTTTTCGGGAGATTTACAAGTTTACTCAAAAAGGAAGCCATCGAATTCGCCTGATTCTTAGTTATCGATAAGTAAATTAAAGCAGATATTTAAAAGTAAATTTTACAGACAACACGGATGAGGAAACTGAGGAGTTGAAAGTTTATAGATTATAGTTACCTTATCATCTGGTTCGCTCATGATTTTATATCAATTATAAGGACGCGTGCTACTATTTTTTCTTTTTTGATATAAAATATACACAATATGCACAGAGTGAAATTTGGAAACGTCGACAATTTAAGCGACAATATTTTGCTTACTGAATGTTGCTTTTGTATTTATGAATGTAATACTGAAATGTGAGGCAACAAAGGCAAACTAAATGTGCAAAGCTTACTGTTTCTTCCAACAAAATTTAAAACAATACTGTTGAGCGTTGGTTTATTGTTATTTATTTTTATATTTGTTCGTTTTTCTTTTTAACATAACTTAGCACTTTCAGACACCCGAAAACAATTAGAGCTTTTCGAAAACAAAACAAATAAGGAAGGTACCTAAAATAATAGTTGATATACTTAGATAATGTCTTAATTTTCTTCAATGTCAGCCATTACGATAGATTAGATACAAACAGCATATAGTAAGTATATATATATCTGTATATATAGTTTAGTATATTTTTTTTGCATATAAATATTTTAAGCACAATTAGATATCGTAAAAATCTACATTGAAACAAACAGCATTTGAATTCATATACATACGGAGATATATACGAACAATGTATTTATTTTGATTTAATTATTTAATTTGTGTTTTAATTATGTCTGTCAATTTTTGTAAACACCATACAAAAATGTTGTTTTCTTTGCTTGCTAGTTTTTTTCTTTTGTTTGTGACTATTTGTACTATTGACCTGACTGAATTTTGGTTATTAGAAAACACATGCTTGTATATTGTTCTAAATATATATAATTTTTTTTTATTCTTGAGTTAACTTTGCTCTGCTCCAAATTGCAAAAATAATTTGAAACCACTGCCAAAAGCCAAACTTTCTATAATATCATTTTGAATCGAACTTTTTAATTTTTTTTGTCTATATATATTTTATTTTTACAATGTAACTGGGACGGCGATGCAATGGACTTTTAAATATCGGTAGCTATATTTTTGTCCTTTTTTTTCTGTGTGAAATATATAAACTAAAAATTGAAGCAAATCAATTAGAAGTAGGTTAAAAGTTAGATGAGTAGCTACATAGTTTTTGATTTAATATACTTTTGATTTAAGTGAAAATAAAAATAGTTTCTTTTTTTTTATTAAAAATATTTTTAAAAATTTATTTTTGAGAGATTTTTGAATTGCTTAGCAATTAAATTGCGTTTTGATAATAGTTTTTATATTTTAAAATATGTTTTTTCTTTCATTTTGTTGTTGTTGGTGTATTCATATCGATAAATCTTTCAATAGTTTAACAATTACATAACTAGACATTTAATATAATATAATATTATTTTTATAAATATATATATTTGGGCTTAACATCCGTTTCGAATTGAATTTTCTTTTTTGCTTTTGTGGCTTTGTTTTTTTGCTTGAAATACATTTAAAGCAATTTGTTTATACTTATTTAAGACACAAACATATGAACAATTTTTATGTACTTTTTATTTTTATAATTTTTGATAAATTTTATGCGATAGTTAAATTTTATACGCTCTTTTGCTTTTCTTATATTTTTTTGAAATTTTTTTTTGTCAATGCAGCACCCTAAACACAATATCACTCACGCTCTCAGACTTATCCGAATTTGCATATCTATATATATATAGTTATATATATTTATATGTATGTTTTATAATGTAATTTCATATTATGTTTATTACGTAAACAAATTTATGAATTTATAAAAAGGAAAAACCATTAAGACCTTGACAGTCGGGTACAACCGACTGCGAAATACTCGTTCACGATTTGAAAATGACCAAATTGGTTCGAAAAAATCTATGATTTGCTATTAGATAATAGAGCTGCAGATCTGGAGTGCAAAATTAAAGACAAATATTGTTAAATAATATGTTTTAAATATAAAGTAACTAGATTCAGACATTCAGACAAACGAACCAATAGACTCTCATTTCATTTTGTGAACGTGCATAATTATACAAAACTTTTTTCAACTATTAACTAAAGTCGTACAAAAAATGAATATTAAGAATTTTCTTCTCTTTTTTTCTTTACAAATGATTTAGAAACTAATGTGAGTGTATTTTGTGTATGTATGTGTGTGTGTTTGTGTTTGTCCAAGAGAAAACTTCCCATGTTTTTCCGCTTTTGCAATTGCAAAAGTTTTGAAAGTTCGTTCTAATGTGCTGCTGCTTTCTCTTAGTTTCTTAGCATAATTAATTCAAATATAAATATAATTTCTGTTTTTCTTTTGTTTTTGTTTTTGTTTTTCGTGTTTTGTATAAAACATTCATGAATTCTGACTGAGTATAATTAAGTTTCATTCGCTAAGCTTTTGCCCAATCCAAACGAAATTGCGTTACGTTCGTCGCTTACAGCAAAAGTCTCGTAAACTCTGCAAGAGAAAGAAGAGAAAGAGTTTAATAAAAAGCATAAATGTAATGAATAATATGTAAACAAAGTTATATGCAAGCAAAAGGTATAGAGCCAGTGAGAAACCCCTCTAAATTAATATTTTTATTTCCTTTATTCTGCCTTGGCTATTTTTTGTTTTTATTAATCATGTGAGCTAGCTAGTGTATAAAATGCAGAGATAAATTACATTCCTTGCACATGTCGGTGTTAAATAAATAGGCTAAAATAAATAAATTGCAGAAGGCAGCCAATAAGTGGAGAGCGAGGGAGAATCGGGTTACATGCGTTTACTACGCCAAGGTCAAAGGATCAACTTGTAATGCCATGGCATCTGAACCTAATGACAAACTCAAGTCAACTCACACACACACACACACACACTCATCTGTATGTGCTTGTCCAACATACACACACCCATACACACACACGCACACACACGCACACATCTGACAATGCATGAAACATCTGCCTTTGGGTTTCGTAAATCAATTTTATGCTGCACAGGGGACACATCGAACGTGTCCTCAAGACAAATGTTTACTTTTGACTCTTTATGTCAGCCAATGCTGATAGTTGCTATCGAGTGCCATGGAATACCCTATCCAAAATGTAAATATGACAAGTTGTTGTTTTTTTTTTGTCTTTTTGCTCTTTATTCAAATTCAACATGTGAATGCACTTTGCGAATGTCTCTTTGTCTTGATTTCTTTTCAGTTGGCCAAGCCATAGTTGAATGCAACAATTAAATACCCTGTAAAAATGTTCATCAGTTCAAGTAATTAACGTTAATTGAGCTTCAATTGAATTCTGAGTTAATTGATCCGAGCTAAGCGCCCATTAAACTTCATAGTAAAAAATCTATTGCCTACTTTTGCGCGTTGGCGATGAATAAGCCTTCGCCGTGAACTAGTTTTCAAATTGAACTGATGTGCCATTGAAATATGATTATTGAACTGGAACATGAACTAATGCAGTTGCCAAAAGCTGCCAGTCATAAACAAAAGCCAAATGAATTCAGACATAAAAAACTGTTGGGAGGCGGGGGATTCTTTGTTAGCCGAACTGCTGCGCCTAAGGTTATTCAACTTGAAGTCTCGTTTGCTGCGGTTTCTATTTGTATTTGTCTAGCTGATTTATGAGTGAGGCTCTTTGGCAAATATTGGCACAAGGTTATATAGCTACACGTGAGCTTGCGTGTGCGTGTGTGTGTGTGTAAGTGTGTGTGTTTTATGCTGCAGCTTGATTAACGCGCAGACAGCAACGGTAAAAGCGAAAGCTAACGCATTTTGTGGCTTTATTTATATTTTTGATGAGTCCTTCGCACTGACAAAATAAAAGTAAATAGGGAAATGCAGTTGGGTGTTAGCGACTGCTTAATGCTGCCCTTTTTATTTTATTTTCTTGCCGGTAAAAACTTTTAGAATGTTTAATTCTAGACTACATCTATTTCAGTCTCCACATTCTAGTGTTTTCACTTTAATTCATACCATCTAATATAACATATATACTCTCTTTTCAGCATAGGAACTAGCATAAAAAGCGCCCTACACTGTCCTCACGCTTGCCCACGTCACTGCTGGCCTCTGTGGGTGCAGCATTGGTGCGTGACCGTGTATTTGTGTGTAACTTACCCTCGTAATTAATGCGGCCATCCTGATCCAAGTCGGCAATGGCGAGCAGCTGCTCCACCTGCTGCTCATTCAAGGGCTCCCCAATCATTTCCATTGCCGTCTGCAGTTCATCTCGTGTGATAAACCCGTTGCCATCACGATCAAATACTCTGTGAATTTGAGTTTCGCAATCAGTTTTATATATATAAATCTGTCAGTTGAGGCATCGGCCACTTACCTAAATGCAGCTATTAGATCCTCGGTGACGTCGTCAGCCTCGTCGATGGGTTTGCTGGCATTGCTGGTGCTGTCATCGTGCTGTTGCTGCTGCTCGTCTCGCAGCGCCTGGATTCTGCCCACCCACTGCAGAAACTCGGCCTCGTTGATTAAGCCGTTGCCTGCAATTGAAAATACGAATTTAGCAGGTGTATACAGGTGTGCTGGTAAAAGCTTAGCTACAAACACGAGCAACAACAAATATTTGAACAATTCTGTTTCATGCCCAACGCCGAGTAGAAAAAAGATGCAGGAAAAAAACAGTTGAAAGCGTTTTTGCTCAATACCGGGCTAAAATATTTCAAATAGGGTGTAGTGAGTTGGGTATATGTATGTAACAAGCAATTTTATATAAGGCCTTTACGGCTTTTCAATCTATTGATGCACAAATCTTCCACTCCTCTATCTATATCTATGTTTATATCAGCTTGAGGCAAGCAACTAAAAAAGGTACTCTAAAGTACAGCTGCAACGCATTGCAGCTCCACAATTTCCAGGGTATACGCTAGTCGTTCACTGCACAATTCATACATTTTTTGTTGCTGTTTGGTGGTTTGAGCAATTGTTATACGCTTCAAGCGACAGCTACGAGCATTAAGCATTGAGCTAAACGGCCATTGTTCTATTGCACACATACACACGCACACTTGCACACACAGACACACACGCACACTTGCACAGAGTCTTAACTAAGTGCAGGCAAACGTTGCCTACTTTTGTGCGCAGCAGGTAGCTTCGCCCACCCATCGCGGCCGCAGAGCAAAATATTTTTTCGTTCTTTCTTCATTTCTTTTAATATTTAGCAACTGTGGCCAACGTATTCTGCACTTGCTCCCTCTCCCTTTGAAGCCTTTCGTTTCATTTTCCACTTTCGCTGAGACTTTTTTAATTGAGTGCTAAGACAGCAGCGAAGTAAGCACTGTTGGCGCTCTGCTGCTTGCCAACTTCCGGTTGCAATAACATGCCGAAAAGCCTTGACCTTCAGCAAGTGGGTCAACAATGAACGGCGAGCAGATACTGCCTAATATAGATACTAGCTATATAACCATGTTTTATATAGAAATGCTAGTCCTATGATATGATAAACATTTGCCTTTGATATCATAAGACAAGCGTTAAATCTAAAGGTAGGCTACCCAATGTATATTAGTTCTGCTATTAAATATTAAAAAAAAATGTTCTCCAAATTTGTATGTCGTTAACAACTAAGATGTTTATTATCCAAGTGCTATTCAGTTTTTATTAAGCAAAAATATCTTTTTTTATTGCAGCGAAAATATAAATTTTTATGCTCGTTCAAGAATTGATAATGAGCGCACATTGCTCTAATTTCGTTTCTCTGTCGGAACGAAAAATTCAGAGATAATGATATCTGAGAGATATCTGAATCGGGTAATTTGGTAATTTGCCAAGTTTTTGACAATCAAAAATGAGTCTGAGTATGGGCATGGAGCTGCTGACAATATAATAGATGAAGAAGAAGAAGACCATTCTAAAATATTGACAAAAACCTTCATTTTTTTGGTAACTACGTCCAATCAAAACACAAACAAGCTGGAGAAGCGTGGCCTTGATGTACATACTATATGGGAACTGCGAGGGTTGCTGCAGAAATAAGCCATATTAAAGTTGAAAATAGAGAAATGCAAAAATTCAAATGCATTTAAAGCCATTTTTAAATGTCCCCAAAACTATTCTGATAAAATATTCTATAAATATTTGTTTTCTGTATTATTAAATGAGCGTCTGTGTGTGTGTGTGTGTGTGTGTGTGGGTGTGTATGAGCATTCCTTTACAAGTCGCTCGGAATCTTCTAGTCAGACATTAAGCTCAGCATGGCATATCCTGCTCAGTCTGTTTTGGGCATTTATTTTGCAGCTACTGCTGCTGGCAGCGACATTTGCACAAAAAGCATTTTCAATTGTCCTGGCTGAAGCGTGGCTGAGCCTGAGCTTGAGCTCGAGGATTTTCCGGAATGTTGTCATTTCATTTTTAAATACAATACGAAATGTTTACTTGTGCAAGTCCAAGGATAATGAAAATGGCGACGCTGTTGTTTGCCATTTCAATCCGGCCCCGTCATTCTCGCTAAGGACATTTCCCCAATGCCAAAGTGCCGAGTGGGATGAAACATTCTTGTTTTTGTTCGCGGCCAAAATGTTGCTTCGACGACAGCAGCAGCAACAGCAGAAGAAACAGCAACAGCAACAGCGACAGTAACAGTGGCAACAACAACGATTCAGCTTCTGCTCGTCATTTCTTAGCCATGGGCAGCGTGCATTAAATTGTAGTTATATACCCTGTAGATGCTGTAGGTGGGGCATATTGTTGATGTGCATATGTGAGAGCTTGAAGTCTGTGGGGTATGTATATATATACTTAATGAAAAGAAATGTGAAACACTAAAGGATATCTCTTAGTCGACCATCTTATGCACTTTTCCCTGTGTCAGAGTCTCACTTCATCCGCAGTTACTTTAACATTATCTACTGACTCACAGGGTATCTGCTAGTCGAGCATTGCACTTTTACATTTAAGCGCTGATTGATTTTGGCCATTGCCCGTAGGTTTTGCTTGGCTCTGGCTTTATTCAAGAGCCTTTGGCTGGCTTTGAGGCATATGTGCGAATCAATGGCCAAGCCACATGCTCTCAAAGGCCAAACAATAAGTGTGTAAGCTGACTGAGTTGACTCTCGATAATTGAATCTGGTGCGTAACTAAATTGCAAACTAGAATGTACATTGACATCGATATCTTTCAGCGCTCTAATCAATTTAGCTGCTTATCAAATTATGGCTCTCAACTAGATCGATGATGGCGCAGGCACGCTGCAAATTAACGACTCAAAGCTGCATTATGCTCAAAGCAGACCGCAAGCAAAAGGTAAATGGCAGCAGCAGTCGAGTAAGCGTCGAGTTGAGTGAATGAGTTGGAGTGAGCTGAACTGCATTGAACTTGCACTTGTTGGCTGATAAATTGAGCATATGGTTCAATTGAGAACAATAGTATCGACTCACTAGTTCAATGAATCAGGATCGATTGACTTTGCTTAAATTTTTGTGAACCAAATATTCTCTTGAGCCAGTTAGAGGACAATGGAAGAGCTAAACAACAGTCATAGCTGCCGATTAGACACGACTTATCGATAAATTTCCAATAATTTCCCAAACTTATCTCGTTCAACAATTAAATGTTTGGTAAGTAGTTCCCATTAATAAAAAACAAATTAATAATAATAATAAATACATAATAAAATTTATATTATATTTATAGTACATTAATTTTTTTTAAAAAATATTTTAATTAAAAATACAAAACAGATATTTAACGTAATAATGTAAATATTAAAAAATTGAAAAATATTTCAATAAATACAAAAAATATACATATCTGATGATAATCTGACGATATATTATATTTTATATATATATTATATATTCCATTTTCTTTATACGTATATAAATTGCATCATAATACTGTCCTTCGCATAGAACACTTCATTATAATGCGCTAGTTCACAGCTTGATTGTGATTGATTGAGCTGATTCCAGAAAATTGAGCTAGAACTCGCAGCTCTATTGTGCATAACAAATGGTAATAGCAACAGCAGTAAGCAGCCAACAGTCAGCAGTCAGCAGTTTGCAGCAGTGGCAAATGGTAAATGGCAAATGGCAACAGCTTCATGCCGAAATGCAATCAATTATTGGCAAATGCACCTGCTGCTGAGTTGTTGTTGCTTGTGTTGCTGTTGCTGTTGCTGTTGCTGACCTCAACAGGGCAACGTGCAACGGAAACGGAAGTGTGCCCACAAAGTGTTTGCATGAGTGTTTGTGTGTGGGTGTGTAAAAGCTTGATTGCTGCAGCAGACATTCGCTCTCTCCCCTCCTCCCTCCCTCCACCTCTCACACACTCACTATCGCCCCCCCACGCTGCATCGCTCATTTTGCTTGTAAAACATGCCATAAACATTGAGTACTTTGCCTTTGTCCACACATGAACATATGGGCAGAGGATTACTAGCATATGGCCCTATAACATACCCACACACATCCATCTATATATATAATGTATCAAACTAGAGGGAAACTATTTATTATTTGGTTAATCGCCTTTCTCTATCAAAGGCAGACTAAAACAAAGCCAAAACACATTGTTTTCCAGAAATCTTACTGAGTTGCCCTTTTTTAATGGAAGCCCACTCGACCAGGAAAATATTTTAATCTATTCTCTTTGAACTTGGAATTCATTGATTTTGTGTGGCCTTAACAGGAGGCTTTTGCTTCTTTTTTCGTTTAAATTGCGCTTGGGCAAAAAAATATATACAAATTAAATTGCAGCCAAAGCCTATTCAATTTCAGCTCAGTCTTTGGTTGGCTATAGCCTTAGATATTTGCTAGAGCATACAATCTTCGTCATTCTGTGTATAACAGTTTTTACGTGTGTATAACAGCTTTGTGCCCGGCTATTACTCAGCTCTGTTTTAATTTCCTCTTTACACGCCTCCCATTGCTCTTTAGCTTTACATTTTCTTTGGCTATTTTGCTTTGGCCTTTTTAAAAGAATTTGGTTAAATTTGTATTCAAATTAGCCTGCTTCAATTTGGTGTCTAGGCTGCCTTGGCCATGGGTTTAAGTGAAGTTGAATGTCTTGGATGGACAGTGAAAAATTAAGTGGAAACAAGTTTGAAATACAAACGAATTCTAGAGCTGCGCTGCATGGTTCACTTTAAGTGCAATTGAATGAGTTATTCAAATGAACCGATGCTTGCATTTTGAGAACTAGTTCGTGCTGTTGCTAATGAGCAATAGTTCTTGATAGTCAGGGATATTCAGCTATTCAGCAGACAATTAGGAGTGGGTGAATCGATTCGAATCATCTTTGATCAACTCGTTAAAGAGCTGCGGAACTAGTGCAACTCATAAAATAATCATTTGAACTAATTCAGCATTGAATATTCAGCAATTGAACAAGAATTTTTGCTTCGAACCTAACTGCAGTCTATATAGCGTTTGCCTTTAAATGAATCCCAGAGCACGCAATGACAATTTAATGGCCTGGACAACAGATTGACCAAATGTGAGTATATGCGTGCGTGTATGTATGTGTGTGTGTGTGTGTGTTAGCCATTTGATAAAATCACGCAAAAGCAATCTGTACCGTAAAAAGCATTTAAATTTGATTTTTAATGCATTTACAGGCAACTTTTAGTGGTCATTAAGGTTTTTGTCATTTGACGCGTTAATTAATTGTGTTCCTTGATGGAGAGAAATAAAATAAAATAAACTGCCTAGCCAAGAAGCCGAGGAGGACAAGTACCTAATGTGAGCAGGAGCAAGTGAGCTACCAGCTTATGCGACAATTGACCCCAAAGGTTCGAGGCTCTTAAAGTTCAAATCGTGCGACACATAAAGACGAGCATAAATAACTTCTGGAGGCAAGGCAACGAGGGAGCAACATAGACCATTCGCCCGAATGGAAGCCACTGCAATAAGGTTTTAGTAGCTAAATCAGGGCAAAGTGCGTGGACTGCGTCGACTGCCAGTCGAATGCCAGCTGAACTGTGCGAGCCAATAATGAAACCCAAGCAATGTAAATGAAGCCATAAAGTGTGCGCTTTACGCTGCATTCTACACTTTTTGTGCCACAAATTGATGAAATGCCATCAAAAAAAAATATTGAGAGATGAGCAGAGATGGGCAAAAATAGAAAAGGGAGAAAAAATACCAGGAGAACAAAGGCTCAGTTTCGCTAGCTAAAGCCAGTTCGATGGAATGGAAAATAAAACTCTGCAACAAATTAACAGGACTTTAATGCACAAAGTGTAGACGGTTTGTTTGTATAGATCTATGTGTCTGTTTAACCTATGGCATATATAAGTCAAGTCAAGTAAAGGAGCGTCGCCCTCGGATCATTTCACTTGCATATATATATGCTCATTTCAAGGGATTTGAGCTTAGTTTTCTTTGTCTCCTTCTGACATTATGAAGAATTTTCTGTGTGGCTTTTATAACCAGCTGCGGCTTCAGCTCATTAGTGATAGTAATTAGATTAAATTACATTTTCTTTGCTGATGAGCTTACATCTAACTAAAAGTTATATTTTTAGACTTTCTCTGAGAATAGATTTTATTAATCTTTTAAAGTAAATAGAAACAAAATATTGTTTTATGAAAATAAATAATTTTATGTGAATATATATTTAAAAAAAAATATTATTATTATTATTTGTCTGTTTTAAAAGGAATTTAAAATATAAATACAATAAAAAAAAAAAAAATATTTTTACGGAAATAGATTTACCCGTAATTGGACAATTTTAAAAATGAATTTTAATTTAATTATACTTTTTAACTTGTTAAATTATTATATTAAAATATAAATATATATATTTTATAAACATATATTTTATATGTATTTTTTCGTTGCTTTACTTCCAATTAAAAATTTGTATGTATTGAATTAAATTCATTTATATATATTTATATAATTTTTGTAATTTAAACTCGATTCGTATTTAAAATGAAGAACATTTATAAAATTATCTTCTGGCAGCTGCATTTGATAAAATTCATGGAAACATTTATTTGACTAGTTTTTGTTGCATGAACAATATTCTTTTTAATAATAGAACATTTTTTGTTGTTGCACATTTTCGCACGTGTCAATGCCTGAGGCTGACAGGCCATATAAAAATAATAATACTAATAATAATAATAGAAAACAAAGCAACAACAAATGGAAATGGTTATATAAATATGTGTTTGCCAAGTACATGAAGCAAACACTGCGGCCACTGTTGGTGGCAGCCATCAAAACAGCTCTCGAAAGCTGTCAGCAACAGTTGCGCCGCTCTTGTTATACGACGCGACGCTTGCATATGTATGCCTGTCTGTCTGTGTGTGTGCGTGTGCCAGTGTGTGTGGATGTGCTTACTACATCAAATGAACGAACTGTGCGTGACTCTGATTTCAATTTGCAGCTTTTGTTAGAAGACAAGCAAGTGCCACGCCCAAAGTTCACCATAAAATATGAATTTAAACTAAACGAGTTTAAGGGTTAATTAATTGATGTAGATAATAGCAATTAATAACAAGTTTCAACAGGGAAGCATATATTAAAAATGTCAATATAAGCAAACTGTCAGCAATATGAAATCATTATAAATTTTGCAAAACCAAATTTTCGGCTGAAAATTGAATTTTCTGCTTGGCTGGCATAATTTACTTTTTATTGTTTGTCAGCAAAAACAAAAAATAAAACGGCTGAGGTGGAAGACGAAGAGAAATAATGCCCGATCAAATAATGGCACACAAATTAAATCAACAATGTGAGCGTGGCCACAACGCAAATGGAGCAGGAGCAGCAGCAGGACTCGCCTCGTTTGCTGGAAACTAATAAAAATGCGCTTAGTGCCAGGCCAAGCTGCTGCAAAGTAGACAACACTGAAGGGAATTCCTACATACTATAATATAAAAATTGCATTAGCTAACGAGTAAATTAAATAAGAACAGAAAAAAAAAGTTAACTTTACAAATTGGCTTAATGCGGATTTTGGTATAACGTTGGACGTTGGCTTTAAAGTCCCGCTGTTCGTTTATCCAAGCCAAAGCTGTGATTTCAATTGCATAAGAGCATTGTGATATTGTTAAAAAAAAAAACACACTATAAACTAAAACAATTGCATTTAGCATTATATAAATAAACCTATTCAAAGCGGCAGCACTGGGGCGTATACGTAATATTTAATGCCGTTTGCTGCAACTACTTTAGTATTGTTTGATGTTCTTTGAATGAATGCATGTAGATACATCTACATATATAATTTATATATCATACATTAACCCACACACACAAACTTGCTTGCTCATTGCGTATACGTAATATTTAACGACTTTGTTGCCAGAGCTCTATGCATGCTTAGTTTAGTGAAACTAAATGCATACATATCAAAGTGAATAAGCTTCTTCTACACCCACACACATGCATAATGAACACAAACTACTAAATTCATATTCATATTGCGTATACGTAATATGCCTGACTGGACTAAGCCTAATTAATGCTTTATTTTTTAAACATAATTTGCTAGTTTAACTATAGACACGCACATACATACACATAATCATACACTTCAACACACACAGCCACCCACACATACACACACGCACAAACACACACATTCATCGGTCTAGACACAACGAGCCATTGTTTGGCTCTGCGACAACATTTCTATGAAATGGCCTTCTTCCTGATGTTGTTGTTACTGTTGTTGATGTTATTGTTGTTGTTGCTTGTGCTGAAGTAGCCTCGACGCAAGTGGCGGCACTTACCTGAATGGCTCGCCTCACGTATGAGATCATGTATAATTTCATCACGCACATTAATGCCCAGATTCTTGAGCATAAACTGCAATTCATTTGCCGTAACGCGTCCATCTCGATTTCTGTCTAATAGGTCGAATGCGGTGCGCAGATCTGCAAGAAAATAGAGTCCAATAATATTTGAATATATACTATATATAAGAAGAACAACAAACTTAAATAGGAAAAGCATAAGCGACCATTTATATGCAGCCAGTGGGCCCGCAAATGGCTAAAAGACGCAAAACAAAAACCAAAACAGATAAAACAAACCCAAAACAGTCGTAAAAATCAAGGACAATTCAGCAGAAATTGCGTGATTTTCAATGGAAATTTCAGTCACGACGCAAAAGCGAGGACAGCAGGAAATTTTAGGGGGCGAACAGAAAAATATACAAAACAAAAATGACGAAAACCGTTATTCCAGAAATTGTTATTACTTTATCAGAGATTATGTTTCTGCGTGATGCGTGCTGAAAACTTGAGCGGAAATTGTTCACGCTTGAACTTTGAGTTCGCTCTTATTCTGCTTGAGTCATCTGTATGAGTGTGTGTGTGTGTGTGTGTGTGTGTCTGGTAGAGCAATTAAGGAAGCGCCTTTGACATTGAGACGTTCGCCTTCACCAAATTTGCATTCATGGCAAAAACATAGTCAAAGAAGCACCTGGGAGGGTCTTTAAAACGCCAACAGCTCAAAGGGGCGATGCCAAATCGATCAAACTTGCAATTCGAGTTCATAATTGTGGCAAAGAGAAAACTAAGTTTAAACTTTTCGAGTCGAAAACAAATTATGGCACTGAAAATACGCTTAAATTATAAACGAAATTGGAAAACGAACGAACGAAATTTTCAAATTATGTAATTAAATAGTAAATTGCAAAGAAGTTATAAAATAATTACTTAAAAAATATATATACCTATAAATTTATGCAAGGTAGAGCTTAAATTAAAAAATGAAATTTTATAAAAAATATTTTAATTTTGTACATTTTTATATACCAAATAAAAACTATATATTAATATTAAATACTATATTTATAAGAAACTTATATAAAACTAAAATAACTTTACTGCTAAAGAAAATTATAGAATAGATGAAAAGCTGCTTTCAGCGAATGTCTCTGAATGTGCCAAGTGTTGTATGCAAATGTGTGTGTGAAGCACATCCCTTTGCAGTTAAGCACCAAGCATACCAACACACACACAAACACGCCTGCCCACGCCCACACGGAAGTGGCTTGTGCAGTTGTTTGTATGGCTTGTAATTGCGCACGTGTAAATACCTCACATATTGACACATTGACACCAATATTTCGCATAGCAACAGCAATAGCAACAAGAACAGCAACAGCAACGACTACGATAGAGTATGACATAAGAACCGATTGGGGTTGCCTTTTATCACATTTGACAGACATTTCAGTATTTTATTTTTCTTATGGCCAATGCAAACGCTGCACAGCAAAAACAGTTTTTGGCTTCAGTTTGCAGATGTGTGCCGACTGCGAGAGCAGTTAGTAGTAGTAATAATAATTTTTAGCTGAACTATTAATTTTGCTGTAAAAATATATGTTTATATATCTATGTATCAATATACACATTAGTCAATATGATTTATAACAATGATTTGAATGTTTGTTTGTAATATAAAATAAATAAAATACATCTCCAACAATTCATATTTAGCATTTTTCAGTCTACCCTCGCTTACAACAGGCAGACAGACAGTCTAGCACAGCTGACGCCATAAATTATATACATATATGTATGTATGTATATATGTATATGAATATCATGCCATCTTTCTTTTTCACTATCGCCTTCCATTACAAATGCTCAAGAAAACAAATTCCCGATCGGCTGGCTGCCTTCACCTTGTGTTTTTTTCCAGTCGCCTTCTTCTCTGCTTCGCTGTCAAAGGGCTTAAGGTTGCCATCTCGCTCTCTCAGCAACATTCAAGGCTACGTTCAGCAACGACAATTCTTCTCTCGCTCTCTCGCAGTGAGCATAAGCAGAAATGAGAACGCAAACTCACTCGGATGAAATTGTTTTTATAGCAATGCTAGGCAAGCGCTTAGCCTCGCACTAATACTGTTGCTGTAGTAGTATTAGTGAGAGAGGAGAAGAGCGTGTAATGAGTTGAAGTCAATAACGACAGAATAGAACAGAGCTAAGCAGCTCGTCGAAGCACGAGAGTATAAAACGGAAAAGCAAGTTGATATCTACATCAAATCTATGTATATACATACATATATATGTAAATCTCAAATTATCTAGCTATATTTAGATATTAAACTACTCTTCACAAAAAACTGTCATATTTAATAGGCAGTTTAATTATACGCTTTGATGGACATGAAATAAATTGATGCGCGGCGCAAAAGCGGCAAATGTTTGCTAATTAGTGGCAATGTCAATGCCGCTAAGCGTCAGCTGTCAAAGCTGGCCAAAAGGGCTAGGCAAAGAAGCCACTGCACCTGGTTTATCAGCAGTTGGTTGTTGTTGTTGCTGGTTTGGCAAACAGTTAACGAGCTGCGCAAGTGTTGGCGCTTGCAATTATGAAAAGTTTTTAATTGCGAAATTAAATCAGGGACGAAGACAAAGTTACTTCTCCTTCATCATCATCTTCTTCTTCTTGCTCAAGCATTACGCAGTCAAGCGAAAAGTTTGCAATCTGTAAATGTCGCAAACAACTAATTGCAGCGACCACTTGACAGATATAGTATAAGAAGAAGAAGTACCTACCTACTGGCAGGACTTCCATTTTCCCTCCCTATTCCCTCTCACCCTTCTCAAAAGGGCCATGAAATTTGACTCAATTTTCTTCAGTATGAAAAGTAAAAGTTTCTATAAACATAAACATTTCTTGTTTGTTTATTTGTTTTTGTGTATACAGCGAGTTGTCATCGCCTCGTTGCCTCTGGCTTTGTTATCTCTTTTGTTGTTTTGCTATCATCGAACTTGATAATTGCACCAAAGGCATTCAGCCATACATCCATGGCTCAAGGGTCTCATTCGATTTAGTCGGGGATTTTGCCAATGTAATTGAATTGCAAAACTTGCAAATAGAAGAGTAAATAAGACCTAAACAAGTTCTCAGTTCGAGGAGCCACACAAAGGTAAATGAAACTTGCAAAGAAAAATATCACTAATAATATATGTATATACATTTTACGTATTAAATACTTAGGTCTGTATCAACTTAAGTAAAACAAACAAATTCAAGAGTATGCTGAATAAGCTCAAGTTTATAAATGTTGGTTCTGCAGCTCCTTCACAATTGATTCCTATTGAACAGTTCTTCACTCAATCATTATTAACAGGCATATATCATATGAACACATAAATAGCTGAATATAATAGACATTTCGTGAACAGCTGAATAACTGAATGAAACCAATATACGATATATGTGATGTGAACATTCAATTATTCATATATCACATTTCTGTTATGGCATAGAATATAATCAAGCGTTAATCATAAATGATTACATAACTAAACAAAGATCATTTCTTATGAAGAACTCACTCAAGTGATTGCTGATTAAGTAGTTCACTTAACGACTTCATCTATCGCACTTATTTTGAATAATAGTTGTCACATCTCTAAGAAACATTAATCTATCAAACATCAAATTGTCACACGTTTTCCAACACTTGAGCACATGTCTAGCTTGTGAGTGTGGGCGTAGCCTGTCATCTGAGGCTGAAATTGAAACTGAACGGTAGCGGAAACGGAAACGTGTTGTGTGCTGCGTTTGTCGTATCCATCATTTCCAGCGACCCTGTTGCCAATTTACTCTCTCTCTGGCTTGTCAAATGAATTTCGTTGACATTGTACTAAAACCCTTCAAGGACATTTTTGAGTGCATTTTACGCATTATTGCAATGAAGAAAGCAATAAGGAAATTACCAAGCCAAATTGTAAACATCGAAGAAGTCATAATTCTAGTATCTCGAGAACTCGATAGAATTTTTGTGGTCGATTGCAATAAACTCGCCTTGTGGTCGGTCGGCCATCAACAGAACCGAAAACGAAATGCTCGCATTGATTAGATTGCTGAAGTGCTTTTAAATAAGCTTTGTTAGTGGCTGCGTGGGCAGCTTGACTTATTACTCATTTGTATTGCTGCTCGAATACTTTCAAGTTGGAACTAATTGCGAGGGTGGTTCGAGAAATGTTCGAATTTAACGTTGCGATATTTGAGCATATAAAATTGAATAAACTAATTAAACTAATGAGAAAAATTAAACTAAAATTTTTTGTGTTTAAAATGACATCAATCAAGCAATTTTGGGATATTTAAAAATTGTGATTCATTAATGCAATTTTACAATTTTAAAATGTTGATTCTAATTTTATATAATTATTAAAAGCATTTAAATGTTGTGGAGAAAACAAAGACCAGACAAATGCTGAGTCAATTGTTGCTTAGTTGAATGTGCTCTATATTAACGGAAATGATATTTCATGTGATATACGAGTGTTAAATTACTGTTCGTATTGTTGTTGTGCTGGCATTTTTTTCATAGTCCCATGTGATTATAACAACGTGTACTCGATAAGATATACATACATGGAATAGAGCCACTGAACATACGATTTTCTTTTTTATCTATCAATTGAGTGTTCAAGCTGAGTAAACTTATATATATTACAACAAATTCTTGATAAATAATCAAAATTTGATCATTTTTAAGTTAATTCTAATTTGCACTAATTTTTACATGTGGTAAGACAAATTAATAAAAATAAACAATTATCGTTCATACTTAGCTCACCTCGCACTTGACTTGCGATTGCTTTGTGATCCATTTCTGCAAATTTCCTATATGTATATATCTATATATACTTTGTTTGTATATAGTATTTTTAGCTCGTAGTTCTTTGCGTTATGTAAACAAATGTTTTTTCTTTTGTATTTTTTTTTAACAACAATATTTAATTTTTTTGCGTTTGTGTTCAACGGGCGCACGGGACGTATGAGTAATATTTGAGTTTTTCCCTCTTGTTGGCGGAAAAAAATATATATGATTATGATTATTTGTGTGTTTTGTGGCTAAGCATAAGCAGAACTCATTCGTGTGTGATGCACAAAGTAGTTTCGTGGG